ACGCAGCCTTTTTTTATTCAGGGCATCACTTGTGAATCTCACACCAATTCATTCCAAGTCAGACTAACCAGGTAATTAATTATGTTTGAAAATCTCTAAAACTGATAGGCTTTCTTTTTGCCACGACTATATGAGACTCCCTTCTACAAAATGTAATTATAAACATGTTTGCATCTTATATTACATCAGAATTTATCAAGCCATTAAAAAAAACATCAACAAAAAACTCAAAACCAGTCATTTTATTGGCAAAATATTCATGTTTTACTGTTGACAGATTTAAGGCCAATAAATAATCTGCAAGAACATAGGACTTGGTTCTCTCTCCCAAAGCTTCAAGAACATTTTTGTTGCCTGTTGTCAAAGAAATATGAGGAAGGAGACCTCTTTGGGGTTCTGCACTTTATTTCTAATTTCACTGCTCTTGCTGATGTACAGGCCTGTAAAATGTATGATTAATGTTCCTGAAATATACCTCCAGTCACTGCTCAAGTATTTTTTTTTTACCTTATTGTTTTTAAGGTGAAAGAATCAAAAGCATAAGTTTCTTTTCTTTAATAATCATATGTAAAATGTGTATGTCAGTCCAGCACAACAGGTTGATGCTGCTACATGATTTCATCTTCTGAAGAGACATCACATCATTTGTTATTTGCATGTAATACGTGCACCGGTTTAGTCTATTAGACTCCCAGATTTCACCCAACAAAGCAAACAGTAAAACACATTAAATTACTAAAAATAAATAAAAGTAAAAAAAAAAAAATCCAAGCACAGATTTCTAACATTTCGACAAACCCAAAGATCTACAACAGAGTAAACTTGATAACTTTTTCAAGGCAATTTTACCAGTGTATGTTTTTATGTATGTTATTTGCTGTTAAGATGAATGTTGTTGGATTCCAAAGATAAAACGTAACCTACCGAGTTTTGATGTTTTCCCTCATTCCCAAAGATGAAAAAAATGACTGAAATTGAAAGGTGAGAGGGTTAATTTGTAGTAAAAACGATTTCTTGCCTGTAATCCTTTAGTTTAGTTTTACTAGTTCAGTCGATGTATCTGCATATCTGTCGTCATGGTGATAAATAGAAAGTATACCCTCGTGGAAAACTACAAAACGGTCAAACCGTGACATAAATCTGGACCTCAGCAGCTCTAAGAGTGTTTTAATCGAATTTTAAATCCAGAACACACTTTCAGGTCGGTTCCTGCCTTCATTCATTCATACCGCCATTTTGTGTCCAAGCGCCTTTCTTTCTGTCTAAAACAAGTCATTTTGAGCACTTTCTGTATCAGTTTGTTTATGTTTCACAGTTAAATATTTTCATAAATAGAGGTAATTATAAATATGTTTGAATCTCATGTGTATTTTAATTTTACTTGCAATATTTTTGACAACTTTGTATTACACCTTACTTCCATTGTTTTGGTTTTGATCCTAGTTTGGGTCAGTCTAAAGTAAATCTAAACAAACTCCTGCCAGCAGTTATTTACTGGAGTCACATATCAACTTCTTATGAGCAGATTAAATAAACCACTACGTAAAACACTGGTTGCCACAGCAACAATAAAATGCCCCTTGGTGGGTACAAACCGACAATGACCAGGATGAACAATACTGAGGCGTGTGACTCCATTTTGTACCCAAAAAAGTTTGGTGTGAAAGGATCAAAACCGCAAAAGTACAAAAAAGCAGCGGGGCGAATAGACCGCCCCACAAAAATGCCCAACACATATCATATTCTTGTTATGTATTAAACAAACTTAAAGTCAAAACAGAGTAGTGTAATACAGGAAATTAAGCGCACCATTTCTGGTACTAGAAAAGAGAACGTAGCTGCCGTTACTAAATGAAATGCTGAAGATTACCTGATGAAGAGCAAATCTGACCAGCTTGATTACAGCAGCAGATCTGGCAATTCGCTGGTTCTTCCAACAGCAAATTTCAAAAGTTAAAAACTGAATTTATCACAAGATTTCTAGAACAATTGAATAGCTGAGACCAACTCAAAGATGCTTAGTTTAAAACATCCAGTCATCTGTTGAAGTAATAATGAAAACAGTGATAAAAGAGGATGTACTTTCTCTTTAACATGACTACAGCTTGTCCTCTTGATTGATTTTGTCAGCTGCTTATTTGTAAAGTCATAGAATACAATGATAAACAAATCGAAATAATTCATCTTCGGGGGTTAAAATTCAGTTGTTCCTCCTCGAAATGAAGCGAATATGACTCTGCATCATGCCACCCACTGACAAACCACCAAATTGTACCCAGCAATACGTGAGACGTTAGCTGAAAGAGAATTTTTTTCTTATCCATCAATCATCCCGATTCCGTCTATTCAAGCAAAGCTGTCTGTGACTGACAACCAACTAATTACACATTGTACCAACATGGTAACCCCCCTCCCATCTGCCCCAACAGACTGCTCCCAAAAAAAGAAAAACAAAACACAACTGAATCTACTGTTTTCTCCAGATGTGATCTGCACATCTCTGTGCACATTATGTGTAATGTGGGTTGTGTTTGGGCAGGTCTTGTCCTCTGTGTTCTGTTGCCATCAATGAAAAATATTAAAAGGAAAAAGGAGATAGATTTTTTTGACTGAAAAACAAAGTATGCATAGTATACTGCCAAACATAGTAGCACATACAGTGGCACAATATTAGGAAAACATAATATTTTCCTAATATCAGTTATTGTTGGATATTGTGATGAAATTAATGTTTGGGGTTAAGCCATGTTTTAGAATCTTAGAATTTGTACAACTTAAATCAATTAAAGTCTATTTCAGCTGTCAACACACAACATAAAGTGTTATTGCCTGAATTATAGCTACCAAATATTGCCCTCATTGATATTGCATTAACAAATTGCAGTAATATGCTATACTGTGCAGTTCTAAGTAGCTGCTCGCATATAATTAGCTTAGTTTAGCATAATAACCTCAGGCAGCCAAAAATGGCTAACCTGACTATGACAATTAGCTAACAGAATTAACCTCAATCCAATTTTCAAGGCTCATTATACCTGTAGCAGAAAGATGTCTTATCGCCATAAGTTTGTAGAAAAGCGAGTAAAGTAGTTTGGGTGGTGAAAGCTAACTAGAAAGAGCCGATTGATAAGTCGCAGCTGATAAGGCAGATTGACACAGCTAGCAGCCTCCATGTTGTAGCTTTAGCATTGCAACACAGATGTAGTTTGAGAAAACAGCAACAAAATTAATATCAATCATCCCTAGTGAAATTGTACAAATTATATATCGACGAGTATAGCATTGTATGAAATTGATAATAATTGTTTCAGTTTGAATTGTTCAAAAGAGCTAAAATTAGGATGGGACTGACTAGCTGTTAGCCTTCTATTCTTCAACAAGCGCACCAAGCATCTTACTACAGACACTATTATTTATGATAACTTAAAAGAATCTTCTTTGAATTTTTTAAAATATCCCTGACAAATCAGAATGAGTGATTATGGTTTCTGTTGGCAAGAAATCAAATAGAAGTATCCTTAAATACTCATCTCTGTTTTATGTTTTTTTTCTAGCCATTTTAAAATGGTTGATAAATGTCTTCAGATTGACAGAAAATTCTATATTAAACATTTCTTCCATTATCCAGTACATAAATGTTAGATATATGCTAGATAGAGGATGAATCTCATTAAACTCAACTCGTGGTACTTTGTTTACTTTTAGAGAAAAACAAATGCACAACTAAAGGATATTTCAGTGTGTTATTGTCAGTGGTCACATTGTTTTTAGACTTTTCCACCTGACAAATTATGTAAGTTTGTGACTAGCACCAGCAATTTGGTTGGAGAGCACTGACAGGATAAGCTACAGATGTGACTCATATAAAGTTGGTCAACTATTCCAGACTTGGCAAAGTTCTGACGGGTCACATGCTGTGAGAAATTCTCACAAACTGTATTGTATCTTCGAAGTAAGGGTATATGACATGAAGTCTGGTGTTCATAAAATGCCACAGCATTTCTCATCAACGCCTGACTTAAAAAAACCCTAGCCAGTAGCCTTGTCTGGTGAAATAAGTGCCATTGATTGTTCTGGACCCCTGCTATGAAAGTGTGTGATTTAAGTCTGACACCAGCAGAAAAGGAAGTCGTTCTTGAGTTGCCCTATGGAGTAGGCAAAATCCAAAATTATTTTGAAGAAGCCTATAGCAATTTTAAATTTTAAATCGTGTGTGGCATTATTTGTGATAGAAGAAAGAAACTGATATAATGCAAAGGTTTACATATCTGGCTAACTGTTATCCTCTAATGGTGCTAATGGAAAGCTAACTGAATTACTTTCCATTAAGCAAAAAGGGCTTTTTCATAGTATCTTTAACAAAGTAGGGTGACATTTACTTATCTCTTGTTCACATTAGGGTCACCTTAGACGGAGATAAACACTCAATATATATAATTGTCAAACCTTGACTGGAATGTTGTACTCTGATAACAGAGAGAGAATGAGAAATACAGTGGTTTATGAAACCTTTGCTATATCTGTCGAGCAAAAATGGAGATTCTTTATAACAACAGTATTGTTAAAATTTTGTCTGGATATATTGATTCACCCCTAAACGTAAAAGATGAAGAACAGAATGAATAAAGGAAACATTTAGGAAGTAATGCCACGCTCGTTAATGAAAACGCAAAATTCTTATTTGCTGCAGGGAAAACAAGATTGAGTTCTTGTTTCTCTTCATTTCACCGTCACCTCACTCTGTTGATTTCACCGGCCAACAGTATGATAGGCTCAACATGCACCACGTTGCATTCATGTGCCGTGATCCAAGTGACTCCGAACCGGTTGGACCTAACTCCGTTGAGCACACACACAAACACACACAAAGCCTCAAAATGAAACCCTCTGTTGGCTGTTCTGTCTTCATTACATATTTGATCAAGACTTTGCTGTGTGCATACTCCTTTTTTTTTTTGCGCATTATACTCTTGGAATACCAGGATTGTAGCACCACGTACATCTAGTTGCAGTTAAGTGTTGTCATCAGCTGCTGTGAAAGGCTAAACGGAGCTGCGTCTCTTAAACAGATTGAATGGAGACAGAATGTGTAGGCCTGTTGTTATGGAGCTTATGCTGGTGCATTGACGTGGACTGCACACACAGCCTGTTGATCCAGGATCCATGTAGTGAGGACAGTTACTGTTCTGCTGCAAGTAGGCATCTGAGAAAGTCATCTCCTGAGGGATCATGGTGGGTATGGAACCCTGCAGCTTCTCTTTGCTTCTGTACCACAAGCAGGAGCATATCGTTTGGAAATGCAACACCTCGGTGTAAGCACCTTTTAAATCTTTAGCCTTTGTGGCGTCGTTGGCTACGACGGTGGACGAGGTTGAGGTTGAGAGTGGTAGAAGACGAGTCACCTCCCCTCGGGGCTTGCCCACGGTCATCAAGGCCTTCTGCTTGGCATCCCGGCGCTCGTCCTCAGTGTTCATGGTCAGGAAGCGAAGCACGACGAGATTCAGGAACGCCCCGATCACCGTCAGGCCCATGAGGATGTAGACGAAGCAGAAAGCCACGTAGCGCGGGTCGTTCTGCAGCGCGTCGTCCCTCTGCAGAGCCACATAATCTCCAAAACCGATGGTGGTGAGTGTGATGAAGCAGTAGTAGAAGGCGTGCAGGAAACTCCATCCCTCGCAGTGGGAGAACGCCGCGGCGCCCACACACAGAGTGCTCAAGCAGGAGAAGAAGCCGACCGTCACCATGTTCGCCATGGAGACCTCGGTCTGACGCATTCCCAGGCACTTTTTGGCTTGATGCAGCAGGTATCTGACGAACGTGTTGATGCGCTCTCCCAGGCTCTGGAACATTACAAGGGTGAGCGGGATCCCAAGCAGGGCATAGAACATGCAGAACACCTTCCCTGAGTCGGTGCTGGGCGCTGCATGGCCGTAACCTAAGGGAAGTACATCACATATTTGTAACAGTGTGCAGGACAGCAAACATACGGGTCTTACAAACTGATCTCGGATCTCTTTCATTGGTCATTTTAAAGTAACACCAGTCAGATAATAAATATCCTCACTCATAAACCAAGACTCTTAGTACCATAAACTGAGTCCTAGATTTATTTAGACTATCAACAATGGAAAGTGACTTTTCAGACCTGTCGAGCTCCCTTTATTTATTTATTTTTTTAGTCAATTACCAACCATTCTACCAACTTTCCCTGTTGTTACTGAAGTTTTTGGGGGACTTGTGAAAGCATGTATTGTTTTACTCTTCTCAGTGAGCGCCAGATGCTACGGTCGGAAATTCTCCAGTCCAAGAACACTTCAGGTACCGCTCAGTCCATACTCAGAGTCCGTCTCTTCGCAGCTGGAGCCACTTCCTACCTGTCCAGGCCAAATCACCTCTGGCTGCTCCCCTTCCAGTCAGGGCCAGAAGAAAATGTAAATATAAAATCAATCACTGCATTTATATTGTCTATTTTTGTTTGTATTTCAGATTGTAGGTAAAAAGTTTGTTTAAGTAATCGTTTCACTGTAACTTTCTGTAGGTTCCTAAGTGGAGTTCAGGCTTAAAAACCAAACCATAGAAATCACAAATCTAAAAATAAGAAATATATTTTTTTAAATGACCAGAAAAATGTATGTATATAGTAATAATTTGCAGTCGTAAACATACAGATTTCCACAACCTGATTAATCTCTTTTACATCACCTTTTATTGCCTTCAGAGTCAGTAAATTGTTTGATCATTTCAGTTAGCGACTTTTACAACATCAAATAGCTGCTTTCCTTTCTTGTTTTAGCTGGTTTAAACTCTTTATGTTTTATCTACCATCAACTATATAATTCTGAAATTGTGAAAAACTCGTGTTAAGAATATTTACAACCTAGCTATGCAGACTATGTGCAGCTACAGTAAGTGATGCTAACTGAGCTAATGGTGCTAATCACTACATTTTAAAAGTAGTTAAAAACTGCTTGAGAATGAACACCATCATGTGTTCCCGACTCCATTTCACTAAAATTAGTTATTTGTTGAGACTTTGGTCTAAGGATGCCTCCGCTCATGAATAATTAATTAGCTTCAGCAGCAAAACAGCTAACAAGGATGTTGCTAAACCATTTTGTTGATGGATGTAGTATAATTTCAGACCGTTTTACACTCAGAAAAAGCTTTTTTAACAACTAAGGGTACATTTTTGGGTCAGTTAGTTTAATATTTACTTAAACAAATACAAATATAGAATCTATTTTTTTAAAATAACTTGGGCAACCTCAAGTATCGAGGTTACCAAAGTCATGTCCGAAATATTGAGCAACACCTTTATCAGACACATTTTTTAAAAGTACATATACCATCTGGCTTTGACCTGAATGAAAGTCTCAACAAATATTTACAAAACAGATGATTTGTTTATATTTTTATACATTTCTTAAAAGTTTAGTGAAATTTCACACATTTTGATCCAAAATACAACAGGATTAAAGTACTTTTTCTCTGAAGAAGTTTCTGAATAAGTGAAGAAAAATCTAATGTAAAAGAAACAGTAAAGTGATAAATATCCTTTTAGTGGGATCCTAAAGAAAGAACTGAGGTGAGAAGACTTTTCTACATGAGCCCAGTGCGGCTCCTCTTGTAAACACCTACAAAATGTATTTGTTGTTTAATCTACATTTTTGATGAGTCTGTATCAAAACAACAATACATATATGGTATAGGTAACATCATTACAGCTGTTATGATCAATGTGCTAAGTTAATTTAGCAGGACGTGGATTAATTTAATCTTTTTTGTATAAAGTAGAGCAATTTTATCATGTTAAATCTTTTATTAACATTTTCTGAAGAAACTAGAACACTTCTGGACTTTTAGATGAAGTAATCAGAGAGAACCCAAAATACGCAGTGAAAAATGAATGCAAATCCAACAGTGTTAAAGGTTAAGCCTCCAATATTGGTGAACTAAAAAAATTCTGGAAAAAGTGAGTGGCTCAACCAGCATACTTTTTTACACTAAGCCAAGTCGACATGGAAATCGTTATCTTGTTATCCTTGCCCAATATTAAAATTTATTTGATTTGCAGAGCCAAATAATATTTCAGTCATAAAACAAATTCTACTCGTTGAGATAAAGAAAGCATGGCTTTGTTTGACCAAAGCAAACAAATAAATACAATATTTTGGGTGAGCGTCCTTGTGGATTCTTGGAACCGCAAGTAATTTAAAATGTAACCTCTACATCCAGATTCGTTACAGAGCTGTGTAACATCCACTGCTCTCTCTCACAGAAAATGCATAGCACTAACTGAGGTAATCATATTAATAACTAAAACACACCTGGACATTATTGAAATTGAACTGAAATTATTAAGAGAGCTCAATTTTAGCCACATCAAAGCTTCAAATAAATCAGTGATTGGAAATTGGCCTTAAAATCTCTGATTGGTGTATCTCTAAAATTAAGCCAAATTAAGTTAACGGAGTAACTTTTATAGTGTGGTGGGAAGAAATATAATAGAAAACACCCCCTTAAAATGTGGTGAAATGAAAAGATATATATATATATATAGTGAACACATTCAGTTGGCATATCCAATTTATTTACTTCCCGAAGTAATGATTTATTTTGTTATATTGAATAATCCACCCTTATTCCTGTGTTAACTTTATTCCTCTAACTGAAGGCAAATATTACTTTCTTTAATTATTAGAATCCTTAGTTTTCTACGTAAAGTCGCTGATTTTAGTTCTCAAACTCTAAACGTCAGTCAGAAAAGACGCTGAAGAGCAAAAATTCACCTTTCTAACCTCAGAAAACATCAAAGAATGTTTGAATCTGGGAAGTCGCCGTCTTACCTGGCGCGCGACGTGAGTAATCCATGAAATACCTCTTTAACAAACAAACCACGACAATAAATAAAGAAATACTCTAGAGGGACACCCCGAAAGGATCGTTTCACCTGTGCTCACCTATGGTCGTGATCACAGTGATGGCGAAGTAAAAGGAGCCCGCGAATTTCCACTGGACTCCGGCTTTGTGAGGTTTGAGCTGTAAAACGACGAGCTCGAGCTCCTCGAAGTTCGCTTTGGTCAAGTTAAATTTGCGCATGAGTTCGTACTTCCTGGCGTCCAGCCTCCTCTTGTGACTTTTCTCCTGTTTGGACTCCAGGGTCTCGAAGACGGCCGCCCCGACCACCAGGTAGGTGAGGATGCTGACGATGAGGGCGAGCGTCCTGGCGTTTTGTCTCTTCATGGTAACGAGATGAAAGGGGGAAAGTCGGCCGCGCGCGGCAGCTGAGGCACTCTGCGACCTTCTCTTGACGCACTCCGGATCCAACAGAGGAGACTTTTGGAGATAGAGCCGCACCACCCCCACATCACAGTTGGGTTGCTACTGTAGGCTATTTGGACTATTTGTCACCGTCTTATATTTAGATACGGCAGAAAAAGAAGAAGAAAAAAAAACACGCAGGGCAATCCCACAGACTTTTTGGAGTGGCAGCTCTATCTAAACGCTTAGCTTTCACAAACAAACGCCTCAGCATTTGACGAGAAGTTTGTCACATTAGTAGATATAATCTTCTGTAATGTAAAAAAAAAGCAACCAGTGTCTATTTAAACATCCTGTTTCCTCTTGCTGCACAGGTCGTCTAGCAACCTGCTGATGGCCATCCTCCCCCTATGTAAACATTGAGGAGAGTTCACACTGATGGATCATCTTGGGCTCAGTCATTCGCCTACTAATTGTAATTTTTTTCCATAATCTTTGGGAAAGTACCCATGTTAATTTAAACAGCAGTTGTTTACTGTTTTATTGTAAATATAATGAATCTATGGCAGTAAAAGGTGGACCTACACTCTGAAAACTGCTGGGCAAAAAATAAACCATGTTTGGGTAACCAACCCCACTATGGGCAGATTTTCAAGAGCTGCTTCCTTGCATGCATGTAGGCATTGGTGTGTAGAAAAGTACTCCAGCTTTCAGTAACCAGGGAACTTTTCTGGGGTCATTATTACCCCAGTCATTGTTTCAACTGTATTTGTCAGGGTAAAAACAAATGATGAGGGTAGAAGTGGCTGTTTTCTCTTTTACCATGAACTTTTGGTTAGAATTTTGCGGAGGGGAAGAGTTTGGCATTTTGAATTGTTTGAAATAATATCAGTATAAACCTATTTGGCTAGGACTACAAATGTACACAAAAGTCATGGTTCAGTGTTCCAGTTTTAAAGTCTTGGTATGTTTTCAGTCCCTGTCAGAGAGAAACAAACACAAAGTGGCCGCTGTAAAACTGACTGGATGGGTAGATGGATATACAACAATAAAACCATTTGAAATGGTTCATAATGTTTCCTAAGATTTTTTTTAATAAGACTTTGCAGACATTTAAAACATTTTAAATAACTTTAGTTATTTTTGGAAGATAGACAATCCAATGTACCAGAGTTACACGGATGCACCTTAAAAGTTCAGCTGTTGGAAAACCGCCTCTCGTCAGAGGAATGCACATCACCAGTGTGTTGTCATTCCGCTATGCAGCATTTAGGACCGACTGGATTGGAGCTGGATTTAGCTCATTTCTCTCAGTGATGTTTACATCGACAGCTTTCAAGTGAATAATTTAATTAAATGTAGTGAGAGTTACAGACCTTTGTGCTGTTGAAAAATGCATATATTGAAATAAAGTTCTGGTTCAGTCTGCATTTGTTTGATACACACTGAACTGAACGTGCTGCACAATTTTCCTATCCGAAGAGTTCGTCTCTCCATATACTGCCACCTGTTGGGCAGCCAGCGCAAGTGCATATGAAACTTACTCAAATCCTGATGGTCAGTCAGAAATGATTATCACATCTTCTTTGCTGTCAGTTAGATTATTACAGGTAAAAAAATAAATAAATAAATAATAATAATAATAATAATAATAATAATAATAATAATAACGGCATTAAAATACAACTAAACAATAATATGACTGGAATATTTTGACGCACTGACATGTTGGAACAAATTCACAATTAATCTATATTTTAACTTATCTTTTTACTGTTGTTTAAACACAATATAATGAAAGACAGTAATACTTATTTCAAGGACTGAAATATCTATTTACTTTGTGAACTACAGGCTACATATGATGATACTGGCATATAGTGAACCACTTTTTTGGTGGGGGGAAAAATAGAAAATATGGATAACAAAAAATATAAACAGAATAATGTGGGAAAAATATTTATATATTTTACCAGGCCTTTTATCCTTGTCTTTAAGTCCAAAAAATTTGAAGGCAAAACAACTTGAGTAATAGTGATAAATAATTATGATCTTAATAGAGTTAGAGGAAGCAGTCTGTTTTTTTTTTATTGTTTTTTTTATTTGAAACTGACTTATTTCGATTTCTGAATTACAAGTACAAATAAAGTACACACAACACATTTCAGTTGCGAGTCAGAAATCCAGTAGCACTAGTTAATTAGTATCAATTAACGGTTGTTTACAGCATGTTGTGTTCATTAAATAAATCTAAACCGAGTCACATGTTTTAGGGAAACTAAACGGCAAATGCAAACTTCACAACTTACGATTAACATAATATATGAATCCTTCAGACCAGCTTTGTTCAGCTGGTCTCCTGAATCATCAAAACAAAGAAAAAAAAACAGTTTAGAAATGTTCCAGTGTGACAAAATGTGGCCGTCATACTTTCACGCAGTCAAATAAAATTCATGGAAGTATTTTCACACAGCTGAAGAGCATCCTTATTCCGGATTTTAAAGTTACACACGACTTTTAATCAGTGGCGATTCTTGATGTGGAGGATATGGCACACTGCCCAGGGAGGCATAGCCGCAGGGGCAGCGTAACTATCAAGGTGGAATAAATGTCTTTTTATTGTTTATTTGCATGTTCAGTCAATGGGGATCAGGTGATCCGTTTGTTGCGTGATGTGTAAGCACAAACTCCAGCTAGCTAATGGCTCATGGCCAGTGCTACATTGAAGGGTTACTTGACTGTTTTTAGGGGAATTTATACTGCATTTGTTCATCTTGAGTTTAACATTTAAAATGCTCTGAATAACCAAACCTGAACTTAATATTTCTAAATTGGACAGAAATTCTCTATTTCTCTTGTAAAAACACAAAGAAGAATATTTTTGAATGCTTTTTGGGCATCGGGACCTGAGATTAATACTAGAATTAAAAGCACAATGGTTAATCATAGACTTAATTATTCTACACCGATTACACTTTTTAAAAACTCTTGTGAGTTGTGACACTTTTACTCCATTATCTTTGGTACTTATAATAATTTATGTCACAAAAAATATTCCTATGCCGTAAAGAATGGATTTTTCTTTTTGGGAGTGTGTTTGTCATGGGGGGCTAAGAAAGATTCGGTAAGGGCGGCATTCTTGCTAGAACCACCACTGGCCGCAATCACTACATTATGTAATATGCTGAGCAGATCATTCCTGAGGTTTTCTGGAGCGGTCTTCTCTACAAAGCCTCAAACTCGTCCACCCTCTGCTTGGTGTTGCCCAGGCGGATCTGACGGAGGGTCTTGTACTTGTCTCGTCCGACACGGACGTTCTCAGCATGGAGCAGGTCGTTCTGGGTATTCTTGGAGTCGTGTCTAGATTGCTCCAGATCTGAGCTCAGGTCCTGCAATAAGAGTCGGGTTTGGTGATTAAGTAATGGGAAAACACGTCCTGGATCCATTTTTGTCTCATTTGTACAATAGATGGATAAGGATTTTATTTGACCTCGTGAGCTACTAAACAAAAAGTTCCTAAAAAATTTCCAAACAGCAATGTTTTATAAGTATTGTGAAAAAAGAGATTAGCTTCTAAGCTAAGATGTTAGCTTGCTTTACGTCTTAGCTTGTCTTGGCTTACAACTTACAGCTTAGCTTAGTTTACAATTTAGCTTGTCTTAGTTTACATCATAGCTTACAATTTACAATTCAGCCTGTCTTAGCTAACTTATATCTTAGCTCGTCTTTGCTTACAACGTAACTTAGATCTTAGTTTGTATAAGCTTACAACTTAGCTTACAATTTACAACTTAACTTATCTTAGCTTACAATTTACAACTTAACTTATCTTAGCTTACAACATAACTTACAACTTAGTTTATCTTATCTTACAACGTAACTTACATTTTATCTCGTCTTAGTTTGCAACTTAGCTGACATCTTACTACTTAGCTTGTCAGGCAGCTTAAATATACCTGATGAGCTTAAAGCTGTGTAGAAGTAAAATGTTTGTTTTCTCTTGTTTTTGTTTGTTTCTTTTGTCAGGAAATATTCAGATTTGAAAACACAACAGTGCTGCAAACTAAGATAAGGGTGCAAGTCGCAATATCCATCTATCATTGACACTTGAAGGTGGGTCAATTTTTAAAGCTATGGTTGCACCTTTCAAACAGCTTCCTCTGCAGCGCTTACAAAACTGCACCCACTGGAAACAACCGTGCACACTCACACCTCCAGAGAGTTTAAAATCACCATTTAACCTAACATGCGTATTTCTGGACTGTGGGAGGAAGCCAGAGGACCTGGCAAAAAAAAAAAAAAAACCCACGCATACACAGTGAGAACATTCGATCTGCACTTAGAAACACGGTCATGCTGTGAGGCAACAGTGCACACCTCTTCATCACTGGGTTGGTTTACTGCAGTCCCCAGTGAAAAGTTTGGTGCATCTATCCAATTTCAACCTTAAGATTACTGAAAGAGTGACGATGTATAGGGGGACGATTTTGTACTTTTAGGATTAAACTAATTCGACAGGAGTTTGTCTGGGTGCGTGAATGAAATTCTCGCGCCTCGCGACATGAAATGAATTCAACTGGAGGAAGAGCGGTTTGTTTGTGTCCTTGGAACCCAAGCTCACCATCAGCTGCTTCCTGAGGCGCTCGTTCTTCTCCGCCTCGGTGAGTCGGTCCTCCTCCAGGTGGTCCTCGCCGATGTCCTGCGAGTGCAGCTCGGCGCTGTAGGTGCTGTTCTCCTCGCTGTGCTCGTGGTCACTCTCGTTGTCCGAGGAGGAGGAGGAAGAGGAGGAGGACGAATGAAGGGAGCCACCGGGAGGAGCAGAGTTGGACGGGGTCCTCACACTTTGCAGCTCTTCCTTCGTCCTCAACAGGCTCTGCTCCACTTCCTCAGCCTGCAGGAACCATCGGAGGGAAACCACGTCAGCGGAGGATAGCGGAGACGTGACACGCAAACTGAAGTTACGGCTTAACGGCTCTGGGAAGCAAAGCTCGGCTTTTATAAGATTAAAAATGTTAGAAGAAAAATCAGACTATTATTTTCTGTGCATTTGTTCAGTGGGGGGAAAAAATCAAGTATTTCTTGTCCAGTTTTATTGCAAATATCTCAGTAACTCAGGAAACTTTCCAGCATAAAAGGAGAGCTTGTTTTAAGTAAATATGTATTTAATATTGATGAAAATGTCGCAGTTCCACTGACAGATTATTTCACTTAAAACATGGGGGGAAATGTCTTGCTGTAAGCGACAAAACCTGCTGGTGGCACTTGTATTTTTTAAATAATTATTGACTTAAAATAGCTCT